CTCCCGGGTTGGCCTCAGGCCTCACTCAATACTGACCTTTTCCTGGGGACAGCTGCGCTGGCTATGGAGCTGTGGCTGTCACCACCCGCCTGGGGCCGTGGGACCGCGCCCCATCATCCACATCGGGGCAGTGGGACTTTGTGCCATCATCTGCATCGGGGCCATGGGACTGCGCCCCACCTGTGGTTGCCCACAGCTCGCAGCTTGCCTTCCCTCATGGGGCACGCTGCTCTTGCCGCTTTCCCACATCTACTCTTCATCTACAAGGCGTTCAAAGTAATGTCTACGGCAGGGAGCGGGATGAAGCACGCAGCCAGGTCCCAGCGGCTGTCAACGGTTTTGTTCAGGAACAGTTCCAGCCTCAGAGCCTCACTGAACTCTGGCCATCGAGGCAGTTGTTGAAGACAAATTGAAGCCGATACGCTAAAAACAGTAAATAATATTGACTGAGTACACTGTCCCTTAAATGTTCCCATCAGCCCCCTCAGGCCAAAATCCTGACCACCCACATTATCTGTGCCTTGGACTTCTTCTGGCATCTAAAGCATTGTAGTGTGCCTGTCTTGTCTGGATGACTTACACCTGTGGAGACCATTGCAGTTCTGTGAATACATGTCCCACACAGTATCACCCATCTTATATACTCTCACACCACGTGCCAGGGCCTGTGAACAGGTCCCTTCTTCCAAACATCATGGCCAGGGCAGAAGATGGAGCCCTCGTGGCAAGTGGGTGCCACCTCCTCCTGGGAGGACATCTGTGCCCTTCTTCCCCATGGGCAGGGCGCACAACAACTTTGCAAAGCTATTCTGAAACATGTGCTCAGTAGCCTGTGGCACAGGCAAAATTACGGCAACTCGTGCTCAAGGAAGAAGTACAGAGAAGGGCCTCCTTGACCTGTATGCAACATGTGATGGAGTCATCGCTGGAGGCATCCAACGTGATGCTGTGTTCAGTACCCATTGTGAACAGGAAAAGACATGAGGGACGCCATTTGGGACTCCCCCTTGACTTCCACGAGGGCTGGCGGCTCAGCGAGAAGCATGATGAGCAGGTGAGTGCTCTCTCTGAACCATTACTTGGCATGAGAAATGGGGATGCTGGTGGCTTTGGGTGCTCCTGAGGGAGGAGTCTATTGGAGCGGGGCATCGTCAGTTGTGACTCCAGGAACAAACGCAGCCTCCAGCTGCAGAGGGAGTCCATCCCTCATCAAGACCAGGTATCCTCACACCTGTGTAACACAGCCACAGGAGAACCTCCATGTTGGCAGGGGCAACCCCCTCCCGGGCAGCCACCTCAGCACCCTTGTTTCTCATTTGGTTGTCAGGCCATGCCGGAAGATGGCCTTGTTCACATCGATGTGGGGGACGCTCCGCATTGATATCCTGGTGGTCAGTGGGAAGCCAGCTTCGGGAGCACTGCTGAGGGGGGACCAGTGCTGATCTGGTGACATTTTCGCAGTTAAGAGTGATCAGGTATTTTTGTGTTACACGGTACGTCTGCACTCCGTGCCCCCTGAAAGGCCCTTATCTTTTAAGCTGTTTCTGCTTTTCTCTCACCATTTCACCATGGGGTACAAACGACCACGTGTCCTTATCCGAGAGCCTCTCTGAGCACACTGCAGCGTGTACATGGTGCATCGTGGAGAAGAGGACACTTTCCAGGCCAGGAGAGGATCGGGGGAAGATAGAGATCAGTGAAAATGAGGCCTGGGATCTAGAAAGTTTTACAGGGGGTGCATGTGTGGCTGGTATCCCCCGGACAGGCCCCAGGGACAGCAGCCTTCGCCACGCAGCAACATGGTACCACGGTGCTGCTCTCCCCACCCCTGACGGCCCTCCCCAGCCCCGCTCCAGGCCACGACATCCTCCCCGGTCCCACAGCACTGCGTGGGTGCCTTGGTATCCTCTGGTTCCAAAAGGTCTAAATTTATGGCACCTTTACTTTTCTACCACTGCTTTTAGGTTTACACTTTCATCTCCAGGCCCAGCAGGTTAACGTGGATGCAAGACAGCCTCTCGTTCATCAGAGAGTCTCTCGCCACCCTTGAGCAAGCTGTGGAGGGAAAGAAACGGGGTCTGCAGCTCTCCTCTGCCCCAGCCATCCAGAGCAGCACCCCGCTCGTGATTTCTCCTAATCCCTTCCAGGCCTGGGCCCTGCTCCCCCCCCCCGTCC